GTCATTAGTATCGGGTCCCAAGCCAGCATCCCAAGCCAGCACACCCTAGATAGCCAGGTAGCGGACGCCCTTGAATCTTACGAAGCTGACCTCGTACGCCTAGCACATGGGCTCAACGCTCCGGCAGCTCTGAAGCCATTCCAAGAGGTAAAGTAAGGTAGAGGGATAAAGACGGCCAGCATTCACGAGGCTATGTCTATTCCATCGTCGTTTGAAGGCATAGAGACAGACGATGTCACTGAAAGACCTTGGAACCTTCCTCGACCATCTTCGAATGACGTCCCGTATACAGTGTTGAACCACCCCAACACGGACGCACCAATAATCAACATGCGCCATAGTAAGTTGGCAACAGCCCCTCATGCCTTCACGGAAGCTGAGACACTTCAGCAAATACCGGAGCTATTAGAAGCTCATCCATCGAAGCCATCTGGTAGTAGCACGACGGCTACCGCTACCTGCTCTCAGCCAGCGTGCTTTAACACAGAAAAGTGTGGGTTAAACATCCCAACGAATATTGTGAAGCGGCTTTTGGACACCTGCTCTGAGTGCATCCCGGCAGGTATATCCTCCGATCCGGTACGAGGGTTGCTTCATACGAGGTTAATCTCCTCTTCCTAATTTCAGCGAGGACATCGAAGGTTTTAAATATGTCATCGCAGCACAAGACGTTTATAGTCTAATTGCAATGGGCCAACCCCTGGAGTACGAAAACCAAATTGCCACCGCGGCAATACAACTCTCCAGCGAGCAGCAGATTTACACCAGGAGGCATATTAAACAGGGTTGTAGTCGACAAAAGAAACCCTATCATCAGTCGATGTTTTCCAGGCTACTGTCGTACGAGGGGCACACATATAAACTTTGTCACGACATGCGAACCCGGTGCCAATGGCCGAGTGGAAGAGTTAGACAAGACACTCCAGCAATGGTTGACACGCTCCCAGGCGGTGGGATTGCATAACCTTTGGAAGTACATGATACATACTGTCTTCGAAAACTATAACGCCACTTAACCGCCTGTGATTGGCACCAGTCCGTATTTTCTGGAGACGGGTCGGGGTCTATCCACATTATATCGATGGAAAGCCGTGCTCGACAAAGCACTTGGGTTCATTACACCAACGGGGTCCCTACGACAGAGGCGTCGGACTCGTAACGAAAAAGCTATCGAATCTCGACGGAATGTCCAACGGACACAGAGGCATCCAGCTGACCAATTGCGCATTGATGCGCCTATGTTCAAGGTTGTTAGGAGAGTAATGTATACACACATGTCTGTACCTACGCACAAACCTGTTGAGGGTTGTTTGAGCCTAGCCGTAGTATTGGGCCACCACCGTTTAATAACCCATTCTATTAAGGATATCGGACTCAATAAGGAATATCGAGTACACTAGAAAAACTTGAATGTATTCACACCACAGATCGGACGTCCAGAGCGACTCCCTCTTAGCTCTCTAACGAGCTATGTTTACGGCATGTGGCTCTTCTACGAGACATCAGTGGCCGACCTCCCACAGGATAAGCGTCAGAAGCTGGTAGCAGCCTTCAGGACGTATCCGCCGGCTTTGACATACTACTAATTGCAACACAGTATGGAAGACATTAATAAAATTAAGCAACCGTTTCGGCCTCACTCGTCAGGATAGTTTCACCGATAGCGATGAGCGATTTTTCAATGACCACCGACAGTACGTGGTTAATGCAGCCACTACTTTGCCTTCTATAGTAAATGCTTACCGGTTTGCGATGAATCGTAGTTCTCAGCACAAGCAACTCGAATTCTAGGCGGGACAACATGATGTTAAGACCCTCTCATCCAGTTCAGTCGATGTACCTGTGGGTAACACCAACGACAACGACGACATGGTACCTAGTAACGCTATCGTACTATTGATGGAGGTCAAAGGAACGGGCAGTAGCACTAGGTAGATAAAGTTGACATTGTTGATGAGATGGAGGTTGTCGATGTTTCTGATGTGCGATAGTCTGAAATTGATAAAGTTGTCGATGGTTCTGGCGATGCGAGCCAGGGTTTAGACGTTCACACCGTTATTCTTCCAACTATAAATTGATAGAGGATGTGGTTACAATAAAGGGTTAGGTCGCTAGTCTGTATTTTGGTATTCGAATTATGGTTAGAGTACAGCATTGTACATTCGATTTTTTACCCACGAGGGGTCACTGTACTTTTTTTTTTATGCGTCGCCATTTCACGCGTGATTCTGGCGATTAAAGGTTGTAGTTCGGGGCAAGATACAGACGAGTTTTCAGGACAAGTCATGAATCTGACACTATCTGACCCTGACATAGTTCTACCTTATACGGTCAAGGTGAACATGGCCCTTTATTTATTATTATTTCATGGAATTAATTACGACACACTTTTTTGTCGTACAAGGCTACGTTAAGGTTTTTCGAGAATCTAATTTAATTACCAATAATCAAAATATCCCTAGCGTATCCTCACGTACTACGATTTGTTTTGTTTTGGAATAATAGACTTTTATAAGAATAAATAAACTATTCGGTAAGTGTCAAACTTAAGAGCGTTGTACGGATGTCTTGTATCTACACGAGATTTGCAAAGTTATCGGGTCAAAATGACGCCTTCATCATAATAGCCATCAGAACCCCCATCAAGCTGGAAACGAACAGCATATAGATAGATATCATATATTATATTAGGCGATCGTGTGCGACAAAAGTTGTACTCTATGTTGGGAGGAAGGTGGAATTTCAACTGTCTCGCAGATATGGTGGTTCAGTTTATGAGCCCCCTTCGCGGGACAACAATTTAATACTCGGATGATGATCTCGGTCATGAAAAATGGATTTGAACGATGCTGCTACACATCGATTTCACGAGCAAACATTGAGTGATTAGACGCAACGAGGTATAGAGAAATATCGGGCCTTACTATAACCAACCAAGTTCGACGTTCATATCGCACTCGCTACACGGCGACACCTGCGGCACGGGTTTACGAACTCGAACGCGTACCCCTTGCTGAGGCTCGGCAGAGTTCCATATTTATTGTTGCCTTGTGACCCAAACTATACTTTGTGCTGCACCCAGCTATTATCGCCTCCTATTTAGAAAGTTATCACAATATGGACCCTTGCATCCGTGATACAGCAACACCCGACAAGTATATACGTTCGTTGTCATGCTTATTCGGGCTGACGTGCAGAGTGAGATCGCCTCCGCGTTCACTGGATTGATAAGCAATCATCTCGATCATGTCGGATGACGCGCCAGACTTTGTCGTTGACATAGTCTTCCATTGTAGGTACTCCCGCCAGAAGGCACCTAAGTTTGTGTCGGACAAGCGATGAACGCAAGAATGAGCGCATATCAGTATGAGCCATAGATCTACTGCACAGGCTATTCGATTTGTTGAATCGCAGTCATCACCTCTGCACAGTTAGGGGTTTTTTTTAATCGATTCTATGGTCTAGAAATATCAATAAGAAGTGAAGGACATGTAGCGGAGAAAACGTGCACAAGTACAGGTGAGATGTTTCTGACCCAGGCGAGGAGTGGATTGCTGCTGTTTACAAATTCCATAGAGTTTTATCAGTTGAGACAAGACGTGATCGAGAGGAAAAATTTGGGGTTCACAAGGTCAGAGCTTCTCTCTAGATGTCGTATTGATCTTTATGGATCTACACAACAATCGCTGAAAAGGCGTAGTAAAGTATGCTCTTGACGGAAACTTATCAGTGAAATGCACTACGTTAGCTGCCTTAATCCGTAACAGAGCGATAATTGGGTTGAAACTCTTAATGTGTTTCTTACCTAGGACACAGTGAGCAGAGCCCGTCACTGGATCTTCAGACACGCCCAGATTTGGAGCGAAAAACCTGCTCGTGAAATGAGCTGTAGGAGTATATAGGAGTAGTCAATGTAATTAGATCGCTGATGTAGTATTTGTTTCTATTTTGGGATTCGTCACTTTACAGACTTTAGAGCGAATTATTCAAAATATATGCCAATTAAAGAATCAAGATGTGCTTTCTGAGAAGATTTAGAAAGGGTGGATTACATACCGTCTCCATTGCGCACATCACCTGCCGTGGTGGCAATCAGTGCACTTCTTCCGCTTCCCTCTAATCTTGCCATGACACCTAGATCGATTCGATAGAGGTAATGATACGGTGAGATATGGATTCAAGTTCTCCCAGTCGCAGAAAACGAAGTACCGGCACAATATCTTGGAATATATCGGTTGAGAATGAAAACTACTTAAAATCATGTGGGACTTTATTAATATATGCACATTTTGCATGTTTTTCACACACTTACCGTATTGTGGTTCGATACTGGAGAAAGCTTCAGGCCTAATCTCGGCAATTTGGTAGCGAGAGTCGGCCACTCTAACCACCGGAGACTTGTTATTCGCCACTTGCCAATCTTTAAGGCCAAGAGCCTCTGTGATGAAATTGCGGTACGACTCCGACAGGTCATCGAGAGGCTTGACAACATCTATAGGGAAGTCCAGCGTAATGATGAGCTCATCGAGCTTTTGTTCGCAGCGGGCGACCTATTATGAGTCGAGAGGGTCAAAAGAAAAGTTGTCGCGGTTAGTACAAAGGCAACGAGAATAGGCTACGATACAATGTCAATTATGCCTGATAGTATCATGAGCTGATACGCATTCTATTTAAGCTATGGCATGGAAAGTCATCGTGGTATACCCGAGAGACACACCGAGATTTTGCACGGATGAACACACGTGTATAGCACTGCAACCGAACGTCACTTACAAGGATACCCGAGTGTACACTATGGAATCTGATAGGTTTTGCAGTATCGGCTTGACCGGACTCCCACAGGCGGTGAGCGCTGGCCAGTGTCGCGTGTCCGCATAATTTAACCTCAACAGTCGGCGTGAACCAGCGTAACTGCCACTCATTGCACACTCTATCTGCACTTGAGTGATTATATATTACCAAACGTGTCAAAGCAAAAGAGCAACCGTACTGAAAGTCTCAACAAATACCCAAAATATCATCATATACATTGAAATGATTGCTTAACAAGTCTTTTTCTAAAATTGCGGATAGTGTAAAAAAAACATTAATTAGTGTTCAATGACCAAATAATTACAGCTACGGCAACGGTACTCACCATCTGTTAATGGTAGAACATATGCAGTCTCGCTCAGGTTGATTTCAAGCGCTAAGCCTTGCATCCACGCATCAGTTTTCTTCGAATCTCTCGGCAGACAAACAATCGCGGCAGGATTGCCGGTTGTTGCGTAGGTATCGAGTGAAGTGACTGTACATGCATTTGACGTGGCAAGATTTTCAAATATACATAGTGTGGAATATCGCAGAATAGATGCTGACACCCAATCTATTTTTATAATCATGAACTCTGCAGAGATGCAGCAAGGCGATTGTGACGTACAATATTGCTGCGAGGGATTTGAATGTACCTGATTTTGTAACGAAGGCGTCCACAACAGCGTATGACTGACGACGATAGCTATCCGTATCAAGCGAGAAGTCAAACCAAGGATCCGCGCCGTGTACAATGGGCGATAGACTGTTGCACACGAATCCACAGCTGCGAAAGAGTGGCAAATTATATATCAAAATTTCTACGAGGCTGATGAATGCCAGGCATAGTAACAATGGAACCGAAATCCACACAGGACCGAGTGACAGTTACCAGTTGTGAACGTATCTCGAACCTCAAACAACCGCGACCGACGCGGATACTCGGGATTTAGATGAATTACGCAAACAAAATCTCTCATTATCCTGAAAAAAATCAGTGTTTGGCAGGAATTGATTGAGACTAGACGTCGCATTGTTCAGAAGAAAAAAATCAGGTTTTGCCAGAAATTGGTTATGACTACACACTTACCTGACATAGAAGCCTACCAGATACGCCTTTGCAATCAATGCTATGGTCTTAATGTCTCGCTAAAAAGAGCATTAGGTGGAAGTTTAGTTCAAGACTTGCTTTAAAAGATATGTTTTGAGCTACGTGCACGAGCATTCTTAGATCTATTATAAGAGCCAATGTCAATATCGAATTATCTAATGCGACACTTCAAGCCACTTTTATTCTTCACGCTACCTACCGAACATCCCGAAAAAGCGGATCCAACAGCAAAAAAAACTCTGAATCGCATATGCAGCGCGGCAATCTGACGTAGGATATATAAAATGATTCCAAACTTACGTGCTTCGCGGTCATGACATCTACGTACGCAGTAAGCATCGCATGAGCAATACCCATTCGTCGATAGGGCAAGTCACAGACCACGGAATGGATTGCCAGTATGGAGCCTTTGGGATCGTGGTCAGACATGGTTTCTTCCAGGAACTCTGTACATCTTGTGGCGTTTATGAAACCAATCACCTAAACAATACAAAGTCCGTGTGTTCAATTATTGCTTCATTCAACCTTATACCTCAATGCACATTCGTGTGGTGTCGCCCAACTATAAAAAACTACCCAGACATTTAAGCTACAGAAACTGTGTATAACATACTGATAAAGTTCTTATATCTATAGTATACGAATGATTCGAATACCCATAGAGGAGTGCGTAATAGATTCCAAATGTAATAAATTCGCATTATCGTACAGTACTCACACATCCATAATGATAAATACCTTTTCACCATCGTGTACAGCAGTGAAATAGTCGCCAGCTTCTCGGAGACGCAGCCCCATGCTCTCGTGAGTGCCTGCTTCGTCTACAGGGAAGCTAGAGTATGCGATGTATGTTAGATATTCAGAGTATATACGAAACAGAGCGTAAATAATAAGAATACCCAGTTGTCAAGAACTGTACATAGACAATGCCAGAGAGGACATGAGATGTTATATTGTTTGCGTAGGTGTAGTTACACGCACAATAATAGCACTGTGATCTAAAATCCCGGTTAGCATGATAATTGATACAACCTTTGTTTACTGAAGAGATGAAATCGCATAAGATGCCAGTCTTATAAAAAATATGTTGGTAGGAATTTTGTACATATTTAAATACCTGCTTTGCACGGTGAGAAATTGAAACGGCGATATACTTTTTACAGTGAGCAGGATACCATTGATATCTCGCAAAGACAATATACCAACAAACAAAATATATCAACAAGCAATACCTGTCAACCATAAAAAATAACACCGAACTCGATCACAGCGAAAGAAGGAAGCAAGACACACACCATCGCCCCTCCATCTCCACGAGCTGATCAAATGTCGCATATCCGCTCGCAATGGCTTCACTTGCTAAGCACAACTGGGGATCTGAGCCATCCCATTTTCTTGGGCGTATTGTGCACTTCATTGCCTACTTGAGTATGTGATACCGCAGTATATACACCTCATTTGATTCCAACACACACCATGCATCAGACATTTGTACTAAACAAATACTTACAGTTGAACCGTGGACCTTGGAGCACACATATCGCGTGATATTCGCGAAAAGTATATAGGGTTTATTAGAGGGTATTTATTAGGAAAATTACTGTCGTACCAGAGTGTCAGGCCTGACACATTTGGTGTCATCATGTTTACAAATATTTGTATACGCCGAGGACAGCATGTAAATATTTATTTATACTCTCTGTACTAGTAGGTCCCTCTCTAGAGTTTGAGAGAGTGAGAGAGAGAGAGAGAGAGAGAAGTGAGAGAGATTTCCCAAATTTTAACAGGAAGTGAAGATTCTGACCCTGAGGTCGGGCGGGCGGCCTGATTATATTGAAGATTCTGACCCAGAAGATCGTCCTATATGCATCGGACTACCAATATTACAATCGGAATCGTGTTATGTAATCCAATTTAAATCTCGGGCAAGGATAAAGTATATGACCCTTGAGTCCAGACACATAGTGCCATGGTAAGCTGGACAAAGCATGCGAACGCTCGTGTGTATTGCTTTAATTATGCCGTGTTTTTTTCACTGCCAACTTTGATTGAATGATTCTTTCAGCTTGTGATACCTGGAATTCTAAAATGAAGTGCTCGATTTTAACCGCTACATAGCACGTTTATCGCCGTATTCGTTTTTTCGTCGTCACTTTGAGATATAATCGCTTACTAGCAGTGGCAGCTGCAGTAACGATGACCTTAAAATTAGCGAGTGGGCATTTTTAAGTGCATATCCATCGTATTCGCACACCGATTGAAAAACATGACTCGTGTTCGGCAATAAAGACGAGTCAAATCGTGAATTTTGAATCTAATGAAGGGAAGTACAGGCCCGATTGCCACCAATGTCACATTAATCAATTATTCATAAACAAATATGTAAACAAACATGTGTAACTGTATTATCGACTACAGTTGATTCAGGTTCACAGTGCACCTGCGTGAAGGGACGAACTCTCTCAGAGCCTCATGGTTTACTTAAATGTGTAGATATCTATCCTACAATACCACCACAAGCTCATATTTGTACCTCGACAAAGCTTGAGTGATATGTGTTTGAAAACCAGCATCAAGTCTTTTGATTTGCACTATTTACGACCCACCAGGAGAGACGAGAAAGCAAATAGCGATCACGCCTATACTGCCTATGCTTTCGAAGAAAGAAGTCGAACTGAATATGGACATTCCAACAATATAACACGGACTGCCCGAGTAATTTTCCGATCGACTATTCCAAGTTTTGGACAGCAGTAACTTTGGGGGACGGTAAAATTTAGACTCAAGAGCTTTCACAATTCATGCTCTATATAGGGGTAGAAAATATAATAAAAAAGCAAGAGGTCAGAAAATGTGTGTAGTGTCGCTCACTCCGTCTGAAGTGATTTTGGAGCATTGACTTGACATCATGTTTAGAGTTCTCATAACTAGCAGCTGATTGTATACCGACAAATAAAACAAAACAAAAACATGATATATAATTTAGAAGGCTATGGTCATGAACAAAAAAAATGAAAGTACAGTACATCTCATTCGTCATTAATAAATTCCTCAATATTCGACTTTGGTACACACCTTGTTGAGATTGGAGACAGGCCTGGAATATTCAATAGATACAATCCAGGGTAAAATCGAGCATGGAATATTCAATAGATACAATCCAGGATAAAATCGAGCACATCGGGAATGTCTGTAAGGATATATATATATATATATATATATAAATAAGTATATATATAGAGTATATATATATATATATATATATATATATATATATATATATATATATATATATATATATATATATATATATATATATATATGCATAAATATAATTGTCTGTCTATCTATATACCTCTCTATACATATATACATATATATATATATATATATGTATATATATATATATATATATATGTGTGTGTGTGTGTATGTATATATATATGTGTACATATATATATATATATATATATATATATATATATATATATATATATATATATATATATACATATATATATACACACAC